CTATTAGCCGAAACAGTTAACGACCTAAAAAACACAACAGATATATTGCTAAAGGAGGAGAAAAAAATTGGCTTAAAAATAAATGAGACAAAGACAAAATACATGATAGTATCTAGACACAATCACAGACCAGACTCCTTGAAAGTAAATGAGTACACGTTTGAAAGGGTAGGGAATTTTAAATACTTAGGTGCAGGTATTACTGAAGATGCTAATAGCCACGAAGAAGTGAAAAACGGCTCATCGCAGCGAACAGGTGTTACTATGGACTATTACCATTGTTCAAGTCAAAACTATTATCAAGAAAATCCAAAGTAACATTATATAAAGTTCTAGTCAGACCAGTAGCTCTGTATGCAAGCAGTACTTGGGCGACAACAAAGTCAGATGAAAAAAAGTTAGAATTATTTGAGAGAAAGATCTCGAGGAAGATATTTGGCCCAAAGAAAAACAATGAAGGAGAATATGAATCACGAAGCAATAAAAATTTAGAAGAACTATAAAACGAACCGGGCAGAGGACGACCTAGACAAAGATGGACAGATAGAATAAAAAAAGACCTGAATATGCTGGGAGTAAGGAATGCTGAAGAAACGGCACAAGATAGAGAAGATTGGAGACAATATGTTGTTGCGGCAATGGGCTTTAAAGGCCTATAAAAAGCCAAATAAGAAGAAGAAGATATGGTACGTGATGCTTGGAGTAAATAAAAAATGCAATTTAGAAATTACGAAAATGAACAGCAACTTGTATCATATTTAGATGAGAACTATATTAATAGTAAAATTAGAATGCAATAATAGAACACCGAAAAGAAATGAACCAATTTTCCCTCCTGAAATGTGGTCCGTTTCATCAAGGACATTAACCGGAACTCCAAGAACTTCAAACTCTGCAGAATTATGGCATAATAAAATTCACCGTCTTCATACAACTCACCCTGGTAACTTTTATTATTAATTATTTTTAATTATATTGTGTAACATAATGAAAATTTATTTTATTTAAGGTCTATACAGATTTATCCGATTAATACAAAAAGATCAGAAGGAAACAGAAGTAACCGTAGAACGCTTAATAACAAACTAAACGTTAATCTCCAAAAATACAAACGACCATAATATCTGACTACAAAATATATGTAAACGATTAGAACAGAACCCTGGGTAGGTATGATATAAAATAATTTCTCAAAGCAATTGCTTCAAATTTTAAATTTTAAACATTTTTACAATCATTCCTTTTTTTTTAATTTTTTAACATTTTAATTCACACATAATATAAAGTTAATTCAATTTTTTATCTACATTTTTTTATATCTACTGTAATTTTTACAATATATAACTTTTATAACATGATTTTTATGAGAAATACATTTTATAACATATGATTTTTATGACACTTAATTTTATAATATTCGACCTTATAACACACGACTTTTTAACACTAGACCTAGATTCGATTTCAACATATTATAGTACTTTATTTTTTAGCAAATTGTATCAAGATGGTACTTTAGAGAGGTCATTTATCCTCAAAAGTTATTTTACACCACGGGAAAAAATACCGAAAGATTACGATGGACAGCTAAAAATGGGATTTTAATTAAAACCCTTTGTGTATCACCATAGCAACGAATGAAAAATAAGGATATTGTAATATTAATTCAACTTACAGGGTATAATAAATAATAAAAAGTTGGGCAAGTGGGTGTCGCCCTCCTGTACAGAAGGTTACAAGAGGGGCACTGAAATAGATGGTCTTAAATTTGAATTCGATGATATAAGAATTATATGATTGTATAAGAAAAACGATTCTCAAAGAAAACGGTCAGTCAGTGATAACACTAAGTATATCTCTGATAGTCGGTCAGCCTCAAAGCTGGGCACTAACTAGTAAGAAAGTTTAAGTTAAGTTAGAAATTTACTTTTGAAGTAACTTACTAACTTAACTAGTTAGTTTTAATTCATATTAACCTTGTAACTTAACTAGTTGAATTTAATGTGTAAAATAGTCTAATCCAACTCGTTAGGAAAATAAACTAACTAGTTAATATTATTATTTTTTTCATTCCAAAATTCCAAAATCTCTTCCTCAATCATGACAGTATGGCTATATGCCTATATATGCCTGTATAGATTATTCGCTCATACATTTATTGCCTCATATATTATTCATTATTAGTATTTATAACTTATCAGTGATAAATTAATTTCCAATTAATTGAAATTATTATTTACCTAATTAGAACATTTTGATCAAATTACTAGGTGTTTAATTCAATTTTTCAGTTTTAATCAATGATTTAAGTTACATAACTTATTACCTATTTACATTTCTACAAAAAGGTTTTTTAATCTATAGAAAAAAACTAACTTCTAACTTAAGTTGCTATTTTCACCAAACTAACTTTTCAAACAAACATTTTCAGAAACTAACTTATATTCTAACTTAGTTAGTTTTTTTATTAAAGTAACTAAACTTCAACTAGTTGAAAAATTACTAACTTGCGCAAATTTGGACTCAGTCTATGATAATACTCGGTATATTTGATGATATTATTGTGAATAAAGTAATTTATATATTTACCTATTTACGTGGAACCTTGTTTTGAATTTTCAATCCGTAGCTATAAGAGTCGAACATTTTATACATTTTTAACTGCAAAATAATTATTATATTTTAAACTTTATACATTTTGTCAAAATTTGAACTTTTAATGCTTATAAAATAAAATTGTAACTTTGTATTTTTAATATTTTTCAACTGCTATTGTAGTCTTGCATTACATTTTCACGTTCTTTTACCGAACAAATAAAAGTTTATTGATAATTATAGAAAAAAAACTAAAAAAATTGAAAGCCCACAATGTCCGTAAACAGCTCAAAAAGAGTCAAAATATTTTCAAAATTTAATGGTGTATAGAAAATGAAAATATAAACATTCAGTACAATTTTAATGTATCTACAGTTATTCGTTTTTGAATAACAATAAAATAACAAAACCGCTAAATGACAAATCGAGTGAATATAAATATTGCAAAAATATGAACTTCAAACTGTCATAAAAATTTAATTTGATTTGCTTGTAGAAATTTTTGTTTTGATTTAAAAAGAAAAATGTTTATGAATTCTCAACTCAAAATATTTTGCTAATTTTGGGGATTTTTCCGTATTTTGTCAAGATTTGAACTTTAAATGATTATAAAAAAAAACTGTGACCAAGGATTTTTGAAATCGCAGTTGTTATTGTTTTTATTGGCAGTCTTGGCGCGAATCCAAAGTTATAGCTATCTTAAAGCCTAATAAAGAACCCACCGACCCCAAAAACTATAGACCAATATCTCTGCTATCATCTACATACAAACTCTTCGAAAGAATGATCCTAGCGCGTTTAAAACCGATAATTGAAGCATCCTTGCCCATTGAACAAGCCGGTTTTAGGAAAAACAGAAATTGCTGTGATCAATCGCTGCTCTAGCCACGCACATAGAAAACAGGTTCCAAAGACAGCAAAAGTCCGGCGCGGTTTTCTTAGACCTTTCTTCTGCGTAGACACAGTCTGGAAGAGAGGTCTAATTCTAAAACTAGCAAAAATATTAAAATGCAGAACAACGGTACGACTAATAGATAACATCCTGTCAAATAGAAAATTCCGTGTATCTCTTAGCGGCAAAGAAAGCCACTACAAACGCTTCCAAAATGGACTCCCGCAAGGATCAGTACTGTCTCCACTATTATTTAACGCATATATAGCAGATATTACCGAAACGTCATCAAGAAAGTTTATGTATGCGGATGACGTTGCGCTAGTAGCTCAAGCCAGAATCTTCGCAGAATTAGAGAATACGCTAAATGTAGAACTAGACGACTTGCAAAAATATTTTCACAAGTGGCACCTAACGCTTAGTCCAGATAAGTCAGTAACAAGAACCTTCCATCTCAACAATCGGGAAGCTAAAAAAGAACTTGAAATACTGATTAGAGGTAAAAAAAATCGCTACTGAAGATTGTCCCCAATACTTAGGAGTGACATTCGACAGAACTCTAACTTATAGCCAATACCTGGAATCCGTTAAAAATAAGTTAAAAACACGCAACAACATCATAGCTAAGCTAGCGGGCACCAGTTGGGGATGCAGCACCAGTGTACTCCGAACTTCAGCATTAGCACTAGTGTATAGTGTCGCCGAGTACTGCTCACCAGTTTGGGGAAGAAGTGCGCATTGTAAGAAAGTGGATGTACAACTGAATCACACCATGCGAATCATCTCAGGAACTGTAAGATCCACACAGACGGAATGGCTACCGGTCCTATCAAATATAGCCCCTCCCGACCTCCGGAGGTTATCTCATACCTCAAAAACCATCTTAAAACTGAGCACCTTTCAAAACTTGCCCCTACAAAAGGATATTTTGGAACATCCTCCAATAATGCTAAGCTCAAGGTACCCTATCTGGCGTAATAAAGTACCCGAAGAGCCCATAGAAGGGCTATGGAAAAAGCAATGGGGCATAGCAGAAACTCGTAACAAAACTCTTGTAACTGACCCAACTATAAAAGTACCTGGTTGGGATCTTACACGGGCCCAATGGACAACTCTCAACCGCATCAGGGTGGAGCAGGGAAGATGCAATTACTTACTCCATAAATGGGGAATGTCCGACTCTCAACTATGCGAATGCGGCGATAAACAAACTATCAATCACATGTCCTAACACGAAGTTTGAAGGAGGATTAGCCAAATTGCACGAGGGCAGTCCGGCAGCCGCCAAATGGTGCGATGAACTCACTATACGTTTGTGATCCTTCCTACTTGTTACCCATTCACTATAGTTACCATTGTTTATGTTGTTACCATTATTATCACCACTATTATTTATTTACCTTTTAATTATTTTGATTATTTTGACTATTGTTTTGTTGTTACATATTTTATTCTTTATACTTTATTTATTTTACTAGCTATTTTATATTGTAATTAAAGCTACTACTTGAATTTATTGATAAGCCGAAAGTGTCATATGCATAAATAAATAAATTGTTTTTATTCCGCTGCAATTATCTCCACAATTCATATATTCAGTTTGTGTTCTGGTATCAATATAAGAATGAAGTTCTTTTATGTCATTTTTATCACTAACTTGGAAGGTTAAATACTTTAAAATACTCTCAACTTGAGTATCACATGAATCTATAGAACATTTTTTTATTTCTTTAGCTGATGAGGCATCCATTATTAATTTATTTATTGCATAGCCAATAGTAGATTCACACAAAACAAACGAATTTCCATATTCCAACATTTCAATTGAAGGATTCATATGATTTATTATAAGTTCAGCTCTTTGTGAGTAAGTTTTAGGTGTTATGCCATTTTCAACAATATTTGAAATAAATCTAAAAAAATCGGATGTTGTAAATGTATTTATTTCTGTTGAGTAAATTTGGCTATCACAATAAGCTACCTGTAACATTAAATATACAATTCATAATTATCATGTTTAATAGTCTTTTATAAACTTGTTATTATAATTTTGTACTTAACTATAGGTAGTTATGTTTGTGTGATTCCATTTTATCTCAAATGTTTTTGTATTCATAAAATATTAAATTAATGTAGACATATTAACTTATAATACTTATTATTATAGGATAATATAGGTTTCAATACCGGTTTAGAATTCACCGGTCTCCAACACCGAAAAAGGCCAGTAGGGCCGCAACTCACCCACAGCCGGCAAATAATATATGGACACTTGTATTGAAACCTATATCATCCTATAATAAAAAGGGCTGTGGGTGAGTTGAGGCCCGACTTGTCGTTTCCGGTGAATTCCGGACCGATAATATTTTAGGTATAGGTTAGTTGCGGCCCGAGTAATTATCATTACCTATGTACCTTACCTATATAATATATATATACCTATTACCAAGGCTGGTCAAGCTAACGATTTTTTTTAATTCGATAAGTTAAATTATTTTAAAATAATAAAGTTAAGTTAAGTTAAAAGTTACTCATATTTTTTTCGTTAACTCATTAAGTTAAACGTTAATTTTATTTCTTATAACACAATTTTTTTTTATTAATATATATGAATACTTTTATTTTTTTTTTGAAATTATTATCATTATATTATACTCCCTATATTCTTAGAACAGTTATAACATAACATTTTTTTATTAATACATGAATACTTTTAATTTTTTGACATTATAATCATTATAATATTATTATACCAATATTTTTTTTTTTTTTTTGAAATTATATATTACTAGCTGATCCCGTGCACTTCGTTTCCCGTTAAATTTACCAACTCTATATGACTCAAACATTGTTCAATGCGTTATTTAATATTCGGTGTATGATGTTCTAGATTTATCTTAACTTTTCTGTTGCCCGGAATAAGAATTCTGAATTGCAGCAGTACATTATCAGATAGGTAATTTACCTGCGGTAGATCGCGGACCCCGTGCTGTTTGTACGTAAGTGTATGATTTAACTCAAAAAGTACCAAAGTTATACCAAGTTTGATGTTTTTACTTAATTCCACCTACCTATAAATCCTAACCTGACCTAACCGTACAAAAATCCGATGAATAAAAAAAACCAAATTTAACCCTTTTTAAATTAGTGTATCTTCTTCCCATAGGTCATTCATTTATATATAAGATATATTTACAAAAAATAATAATACAAAACAACAAACATGCCCAATTAACCAATAGCAACCAATATAATATAATACACCATAGAGTAAATAAAGACAACGGTATCGAGTTCTAATCCCAGACATCAATAAATAGTTTTTGCAGTTTTTTCTAATTATTCGGTTGACTTTTTAAAAATTTTCTTTCGTAAAAACCTTCACCTGGCAATTTCGAACATCTTAAAAAAAATTTAAGCAAAATCGGCCCAGCCGTTCCCAACTGATGCAATTTCGAATTTTTTGTCTCCATTTTTATATATATAGATAACAATACTTTTATTTTTTAAAGACAAATCATAACGTCATGAATATGGGTGAAACTGTAGTTAGGTTAAATATAAAATATTTTATAGTTAATTAATTAGAAAATTACAAACCATTATTAACGAAGTCAGTGAGTCAAATGCACAAGTATTGTTTAAAATCACTTTTCCTGGTTTACTTGTGAATGTTGTACTTTTTAATTGTTTAAAACAAGATCCATTTTTTAATATTTACAACGATCGTTGATGTTTTGATGAATTTGTTATTCTTATATGGCGTAAATGAGAATTTGGCACAAGGTAAGAGTTACTTTTTCTTTGCTGGGCACTTTTTCTGTTCCAACTTTCTGTTGCTTTAATTTCTTCGCTGTTTTCTTGGTTTCGTATTGGAACAAATCTAAGTTGGTTTTCTTTCACAATACAGTATAATGAAGAATTTGAATCATCATGTGAATCATCGGTAACATCGAATAATTCACCTGGAATTTGTTTCGTCATATTATGTATTGTTGGTGGTGAATCATAGTTTTTATCATCGTTATTGTATCTTAATAGTGATTGACATTCAATATTTACTTCTTTTTCATAAACTTGTTGATATTCATTGATATTATCATCAATTATGTTTAATGGTATCGGGTTCTCTTGATTTTCATATAACCTCGGTGGTGAATATCCATTTTCATTAAAAATTACCTGATTTGACTCTTCCATAGGTGGCAAAGATTCATTGTTATGTATAGCAGATCTTAAAAGCGTAGCACCTTTTAGTGAATCAATATGATTGGTCAAAAATGTTTCAAGGTCAGTTGGCAGAGGTATATGCTTAAAAGTTACAACTTTAAGTTTTTTGAAACTTGATTCTATTGCAGCTGAGCTCGAAACGTCATCACCATAGCCAAATATTGGCACCATTACACCAGACCATAAAGGTAATAGTTTCATTATTTTTATTAAAATTGGCACCAATGTTGGAATAAATAATGGGTTTATCCCTGATCCTTCCTGCACAAAACTTTTGCTGTTTTCATATATATTATTCGCCCAAGATTTAAAAGGATTTTCATAATCATCAAGTCCTTCATTTTGAGCTTCATACATTTCTTCCATTAAAGTTCGAGCATCATCTTCTGTTTCAGCAAGAGCTATCATATTATCAAATTCTTGATGAAATTCAATAAACCCACTTGATGTAGCTTCAATTAACTTTTTTTTATGTAATTCACATGCAGTTTCCTGGCCATCTAAATTTATTCCGTCTGTTTCATTGGTGAAGACCACAAACATTGACATCAGTAGACAGCGGACTTCTGATAAACTTTGGCATTTTATTAAAATTCCAACTAAGCGGAGTACAATTTCCCTAATTCTTCTTGAAACTGTCTTTAGTGGTGTCCACTTACTACAAATTTTTATAAAATGTGCTACATCGATACGTATGAAACATCTAGGAAGAAAATGTGAATTGGTAGAAATTTCTTGCGTAAGCAGGTCAGAACAAACTCTTACATAGTCTTGCAAAGACGAATACTGAGTAAAGCTTTGAACGATAGCTGAAAGCAAAGCTAGTGAATTGTCACAAACCGTTTCTTTGGGTTTTTTTATGTCACAACTTATCCATTTCAAGAGCCAATTAGAAATTGCTAAATTTGTATGTCTTTCACTAAGCATGTTAGTAACAGTAAATTTTTTTTTCTTTGTCGTACACCAATGCTTCGTATAAATATATAGAATTAGTTTTCTCTAAACCTAATCGGTGAAAAGTTTTGACTATTGAACCTGTGGCGTCAATTACTAACTTCGGATAATCAGTTATATTACAATAACTCCTATACAAGTTAATTTGCTCCGAAGAATGATAATGAACAAAAAAAGGGTCACATCCTGTGTCTTGAATAGTATTTTTGAATTCATTTTCTTTTTTCATAATATTCTAGGAAATCAGTGAATCTTTATTCCGGCGTTCATTTGACAGTTTTTTAGATTTAAGTGTCCGTAAACAATTACCGGTAGGAATGACAGCTGGTTCGAAATCTCCTGAAATTAAATTTCACTTGTTATTTGTTTAATATTTGTGTACACTTCTAAAATGACAATTCGCATAACTGTATAGCCTTAAGTTTGGGTTAGGGCGTATTAATTCAGATTTTAACATTCAAATTATTAAAAGTAAAATATAGAAAATGTTTTGTTGTGGAATTGTTTAATCATTATATTGTGTTATAAAATTAAGAATAACTTTATTTTTATTTTTAAATCAGTTTAAACGTCAGATTAAACATAAAAATGATGATTACTGCTAGGCGTATCTAAATTAAAAATATCGAACCCACCTACATTTTTTTTAACTTTGGCGCTTAATAGATATTAGAAAAGATACAAATTACAAATCGATAACCCACAAATTGTTTGCTGATAATAACTCAATATTGTAAAAATTAAATAACAATATTTAAAAGGTGACTTTTCTTATTGTTCTTAATAATCAAGGAAAATAATTTTAAAAAACCAGTTTTTGACAAAATCAATATTGTTTTTTTCAGTGTAACTTGAATACTTAAAATGTTCATACAACGATTGTATTATCATTTTCTATACAATATGATAAAAGCTATAGAAAACGGAAATTAAATATTTGACATTTATAACAAAACAATATATTAATCCGTAATCGTCATCATTGTTAATATTTTTCCTGTTGTGAGTTATGGATGTCCCGACAAATACTCGCAACATGGAGCCGTGACGAATAGTTTGAATATTTCTGGTTTAAATCATTTGTTTTAAACAACCCAATTTTAGCACCCAAAGTTCGTTAAACCATCTGCGTATAGTCTAATTTTTCAATCCAAAATGGAAATTTTAAACACAGTAGTTACATTTCTCTCTAAAACGTATTATAATTCTTACCATTAGTCATAAGACGATTTGCTTCTTTTTCTCTGAAAGTTTCACATGATACACTTTTAATAACCACAGAAGATATCACCTTTTCTTTCGCTTGTCCAATTAAACGCCTTTTTTTGTTTAAATTGTGTACATCAAAGTTCCCGATATAAGTACATTCCATCAAAACTCTATTGGAGAAGATACAATGATACATGGATTAAAATTTTGAAAATATTTATCATCTAAGTATCGTTTATATAATGTCAAAGACAATAATAATTTAGTATTATAAAATATTAAAAAATACCTTTCATTTTCTGATTTTTGGTTTAAAATAACACCCTTAAAATGTGAGTTACATATAGAGCATCTTCCGATAACGGTAACAAAAGTATTTCTAAGTGGATATACATGGGCTCTTTGGAAAGATATACAACATGGCAATTGGGTATGGATCCAAAAGTGCTCGGCTAAAATGGGTGTCCACTGGTTTTTTTGTAATGCATGATGAGTTTTAAAATTTTGTTTTGATCTATTTTTGTCATTTAATCTATACACAATATTCTGTGGCTTAATCATATTCCACTCTTCAATGGAAAATGTAAAAACAAACTTTTTTTTAGGTAGATCTTTATCTGAATTACTACTATCATCTGAACTTTCTAAAAAAAAATTATTAAATCCATATATATAGCAATTTTGATTTTACTATACAAATTAACTTAACAAAATTCTACCGAACATCATCAGTTACCATTATATTAATCAAAAATACTCAAAAATTAAGTACCTGTAAAAATAATAATTAATTTTTATGTTAAATACGATATTTATCTATTTGATCAATGAGGCTATTGGATTTTATGTACGTATGCATCAAAAGAAAAAAAATTATTTATGATCTACTCTCAAGGTTGTGTAGTATAATATAGAAGATATGAAAAAACACTACCTATAAAAATGTGGAGAAGTAAGTGCCGTGCTACATACCATTCCTCAAAACATTGGATATCAAGTCTGTATATTGTAATGGATTTGTTATATTTGAATTCAATGATAAATCTTGTCATACGAAAAACTATTCTGTGTGGAGATTGTGTGTCATCCTAGCATACTTATTACTACATTTTAGTATTAGACAGTATTTACTATTTACTACAGTTGGTTAAATTCATTTTTCCCAAAAAATTACATTTGAAAATGTCATTGCGTGTATATAAAATATAACAACATAAAAACAATAAAAGTTTCATAACTATTGTAATACCAACATAATGTAACTTCTTGTTAATGTAAATTTTCATAGGTTAAATTGACGTCGAAGCCTTATTCATAGTAATAATAATAATAAAAAAAAAGTTTCATACATCAACAAATAATATTTTTAAATTAAAACAAAAAAACTAAAATCTTGTTCTTGGATTTAATATGCTATATCGTCCAAATTTGAATTTAAAATGTCAGTAAAAAATAAATGTGTTTATTTATTTTTTAGATTTGTTAGTTACAGTATGAACTATTTATGAGAGTCTTTTTTTATATTTCTAACCCTTAGTTATAAAAACTGAACGTTTAATACATTTTTAATTACAATGATTGATAATTTTCGAGATTATGCCAAAATTTGAACTTTAAATGCTTATAAAAAAAAAAATCGTACCTATATATTTTTAAAATTGTTCAACTGATATTGTAAAAATATATCAGACATTTTGTATCAAATTTTAAGACTTTTGGCCCACCAAATAAAATTTTACTGACAATAATAATAAAAAAAAAAAAAACTAAAAAAATTGAAAACTGAAAGTGTCTGTAACAAACTTAAAACAAATCAAAATATTTTTAAAATTATATTTTGTATAGAAAATAAGAATATAAACATGCAGTGAAATTTTCATACATCTACAATTATTCGTTTTTGAGTTACACCCAAATAAGAAAATCGCTACATAAAAAATCGAGTGAATATCCTGCAATGTTGTAAAATTATGAACTTCAAACGCTCATAAAAATTTATTTTTACTTGCTTTTAGATATTTTATTTTTGATAAAAGTAGAAAAACTTATGTTCAATCTTGTATTACATTTTAAAATCTTAGATTTAAAAAGAAAAATTTCTAAGAATTTCTAACTCAAAATAATTTGAAAATTTTCGTCATTTTTACGTATATTGTCAAAGTTTTAACTTTAAATGCTCAGAAAAATTGTGACTGCGGACTTATAATATTTTTCATCTGCCTTTGAAACAATATATTTGGAGCCTTCTATTAAATTTTCAAGATTTTTTACCCAACAAATAAAATTTAATTGATATTTATAGAAAAAAAACATAAAAAAATTGGAAATTGAAAATATTCATAAACAACTCAAAATGGTGTGTAGAAAATGCTTATTAAACATTCAGTCAACCTTTAATGGAACTACTGTTATTTCTTTTAGAGTTACACCAAAAATCAAAATCAAATTCCTGTTTTTTCTTTAATTTTTCACTTGTTTTTCACGATACTTTTGAAAACTACTTTTAACCCCCCGAAGTACCAACTAGACTCACTTTCCTATCAAAAAAAGTAATATTGAACAAAATATAAGCTTTTTTACTGTCCTAAAACGTGATGACAGACATAACATAAAAAAAAAAACACATAATTGTAAAACCAAAATTGCTCCGCTCAGAATCTAAAAAAAAAAATAATAAAAATAGCTAAGTATCTATAAATATTAAATAGCGTAACTTTCCGGAAAACTATTTTTTTTTGTTAAAGGTGGACAAACTCGTATTAAAATTTACAACATTGGATGTTAAAAGAAATATCTTTATGAACTATTCTAACTGAAAAATAATTTTCAAATTTTCCGATCTTAACCCTTTGAAGCATGGGGGTATTTATTTTATACCACTTTTAGAAAAAATTATCCTACTCTTGCACGGTGGTATAAATTTACTACCACTATAGTATTGTATTCTCTTTGTTGTTATAATTGACTGGTAGATGGCAGATCAACAAAATTATTTCTTATAGATTAGTCAGAAAAAACCACGATTAAAGATATACAGGTTACTCAACGAAACTTATTTTTCGGTGCGCCTAAAATTTACGATCTTGTCATAGCAAGAATAACAGTCAGCGCTTCTGCATTATAGTGATTTCTGTTGGTACTACAAAATACATTATTATCAACAATATCAAAGTTGATAATATCAACAGACAACAACAACTATCAAATGTCAAGTGTCAATTGTCAATAGTCATTTTATTAATTATTAGTAAATATTATATTAAATAGTAAATTATGGAGTATGAATAAGTAATAAGTAATAACGAATGACCATTAAGGTCCCCACACACTGCAGCGGTGGCGGTGGCGGTCAATTGCTGTAGGACACATTTCACCGCTCACGGCTACAGTTATAAAATGTATTTAATGTAAAAAATGTTACAGCAACTGGAAAATTACTATCAACCATCGAAATATCAAAAAACCATCCTTTTGGCAGAGTAATGGAGCCAATTTGACTCAGCACTGAATCAAATAATGATTCGTCTTGTACTATAACTTCATGTACCCTTTCAATGTTACTTTCAATACCTTCTGTAACCAAGAATCAAAAAATTTCCAAGTTTGTTTAATTTGTTTGTACCTATGCCCTATAAAGCTGTAGTTATATAAAACTGAAAAACAAACCATCGAAGCACAAGTTCGCTTAGCATCAGGATACTGAAATTCTTCAGGAATACTTTTTTTTTTTTAATAAACTATAGTTATGGTCATGAATAAAGACAAGTATCAATTTAACATCAAAAATTTATATATTCTGGTGGTATATTATATATACCAGTGTGCATCTATAACCATTCCTAGACTGTGTCATTTCTAACATTTTTTGACGTTTTTTTAGGTTTTACTTTGTTATAAATTAGTTTTTACAGTTATTTATATGGCTCGTATTTTAAATGATGATGATATAGTTAATTGCATATTTGATAGTGATGTAGAAGTTAGTGATTTACCTTCAGATAATGATAGTTATGTGGACGATGAAGATGAAGGTCCTAATTTTTTACCTATTACAACTTCTAATATCCTCACTGCAGTTGATTATAGTAGTTATTCGAGTAGTGAATCAGAAGTTGAAGTACCTATTGTATCTAAAGTTAAGAAGAGAAAATATACTAGTAAGAATACAAGTAGTGTAGTGAATACTAATAATTTGCAAAATGTATTACTTCCTACTACTTTTGATCAGCCTTCTGTAATATTACCCATTCAAACTGTTGTGTATCCATTTGTTGAGCCTAAATAGGATAAACAAAATGAAGTTTTTACTAATCCAGTATTCTTATCTGACTCAAATTTATCACAAGATTTACTTTCAATGGAAAATAAATCACCTTATAACTTATTTCTTCAAATGTTTCCAGATTCTCTTATTGAAGTTATATTATTTCAAACAAATTTATATGCACAACAATCCCAGAAACCATATATACCAGCTACTAAACAGGAACTTAAAACTTTCTTAGGTCTAAATATTTTAATGGGTTTGAAAAGACAAGCATCTTATAGAGATTATTGGAGTACAGCACCAGATTTGAATGACTCATATATTTCAAAACAAATGACTGTAAATAGGTTTGGATGGTTTTTAACTAATATTCATTGCAATGATAGCTCGCTAGAACCCAAACGTGGATCACCAAATTTCGATAAATTGTATAAACTTAAACTGGTTATTGAAAAATTAGGAGAATGTTTTCAAAAATCCAAAAATTTAACTCAAGACCTTACAATTTATGAATCTATGGTAAAGTTCAAAGGTCGTTCAACAATAAAACAGTATATGCCACAAAAACCAATAAAAAGAGGGTATAAAATATGGATGTTGAACGATAAAACTAAATACACATCAAAATTTCAAGTTTACACTGGAAAAGTAGTTGGTTGTGTAGAAAAATTATCAGGAGAAAGAGTGGTAAATGATCTTGTTAGCTGGATTGGATAATAAAAATCATATTTTATATATTGATAACTTTTTTACTAGTTGTCCTCTTTTTCAAAGTCTAAAAAAAAAAATATTTGCCCGTGGTACAATTAGAAGCAATAGAAAATACCTCCCAGATTTGTTGGCAGATAAAAGTTTAAAAAGGGGTGATTTTGATTATTCTGTTAGTAATGATAATATAGCACTATTCAAATGGATGGATAATAAACCAGTTTATATGATATCTTCCTTACACTCTCCAAATGACACTCATGAAGTAAAAAGAAAATTAAAAGATGGGAGTACTACCATGGTTCCTTGTCCAGATGTCCTTATATGCTATAATAACAACATGAATAATGTAGATGTATTTGACCAGTTGAAAGCAGCTTATGGTATGAATAGAAAATCAAGAAAATGGTGGCACAGGCTGTTTTTTCATTTTATTGACATGGCTATTGTAAATTCTTTTATACTTCATCAACAACTAAAACTAGAAAAGATTTCACTAAAAGACTTTCGTAGGAGGGTAGTTGATGGCTTGTTAGCTCCAAATCAGCTTCAAACGAAAAAAAAAATTCAATCCATCCAAGTATCTCATCATAAACCACATGTAGCACCAGAAGTACGGTTTGAGAGTTCTGCACATCAACCTACTCGTGGTACACTAAGAAGATATGCACTATGCAGCACAAAAGCAAAACAAAAAAGAACTGAATGGTTGTGTGAGACATGTAACATTCCATTATGTTTGGGAAAAAAAAACTGTTTTTCATTATATCATAAAAAATAAATTGAAAACATAACATGTTGCAATACTATTTTATTATTCTATTCTATAAAAAAAAAATACTTATGTAAAATAATATCTATATTCTATATATATAAAAATGAATGTATGTCAGTGTGTCAGTGTGTCCATGTTACCATGGTTACCAAGGTTGCCATGGTTACTAAGGTTACCAAGATTTCATATCAATCTATATATATAAAAATGAATGTATGTCAGTGTGTGTGTGTGTGTGTGTGTGTGTGTGTGTGGGTCCATATTACCATGGCAACCATATCTGTATATAAAAAACAGTAAGCTGATTGACTGCTATCAACGCACAGCTCAAACCATTGGACGGATCTGGCTGAAATTTGGCATACGGATAGCTATTATAATATAGACGTGCGCTAAGAAAGGATTTGCCAAAATTCGCATTTTAAATAGGTGCTGAAACAGGGACATTGAGATTCACGATAGAAATTGGAAATTTTATTTTTATTTATTTATAGTTGCCATTGGTTACAGTCTACATTAGAAATTAGCATTTATTTATTGGTTGCCATTGGTTATTCGGGCAGATCAGGTACAAGCTTGCATCAAATCGAATTATTGAACAATGCTTACCAGGGTGGCAGAGTTGCACTTACCGCAGAAAATTACACCCAAAAGGAGTTCAACAATCATAATTTTTTTAAGAGTTGCGATTTTTTACGAGCAACCAAATTTATTATATTAATCCACAGTATTACATCAAAATAAACTTGGTATAACTTTGATACTTTAGAGTTAAATCATACACTTCCGTACAAACAGCACGGGGTCCGCGATCTACCGCAGGTAGATTGCCTACCTGATAATGTACTGCCGCGATTCAGAATTTTTATTCAGGGCAACGGGAAAGATAAGATAAATTTTGAACACCATACACGTTAATGAATTGAACAAAGTTTGAGTAGGTAGTATTGAGTTGATCCATTTAACGGGCGACGAAGTGCACGAGATCAGCTAGTTATTTTATAAAAAAGGTTGTATTTTTTATTTTTATGTTTTTTACTAAGAAGCATTCTAACAAAGGTCACACATATGATCAGCTTTATTTTATTATTAATATTTTTACTATAAACTGTTTATTATTATAAAAGGGAATTTTTTTTTTTTATTGGAAAATTATTTTAATTGATCTTGGCATTATGAGATAATAAAGATTTATATTTAAATTATGAGGAAGGTAATAGTTTTATATTTTTTACCAAACATAATAAACATATTGTTATGATATTGAGCGATGGATACCTAATGCATGGTGGTAAGTACGGTATACCACCTGTTTTAAGTACTTAAGTTTTATTTTTTATTTATTTTTTCATTTTTTTTCATAATATGGTGTAATTAAATAATAGAAACACAACGTCAAAATTAAAAAAAATCAAAAAAAAATTCTTGTGCTTCAAAGGGTTAATTAATTTTTTCAAAATTTGAACTTCAAACCTATATAAACAATTAACGTGAATACGTATTTTTACTGTTTTTCACTGCTATTAAACCAACTTTTGAGGAACTTTGCACTAGATTTTCATGATTTTTACCATTGAAAAAGTTTTTATCGACAATAATTTTTAAAAAAAATAAATATAATTCGAATAACGGCTCTAGCTAAAAATAGCTTTAAAAGAGACAAAATGTTCTGAAAATGTTATCATGTAGGTTTAGAAAATGATAAAATAAACATATGGTAATAATTTGCTAAAAGAGGGCAGCACAAAAAAAAATAAAAACACATCATTGTTAAATCAATATACAGTTATCTCTCTGTTAATAATCTAAAAAAACATACCCAAAAAAAATTAAATACAAATTACCTAGTCATTTTAATTAGTATATTATTAAATTTCGTACTCCGCAAAATATTGTCTAAGATATTCCGAACTATAGGTTAGGTTAATACTATATTATTCATAATCATCCACCCAAAGAAATTGTTACATTTTTTAATAATATATTTTACTTACCACTTGCATTCGGAGAATCAATTATAACATTAGATGCTATATTAGATGCTGTCTTGGAACAAATTGGAAATCCAAGTTTTTCCTTAATATCATATCGGTTTTTTAAACACTAATGTATGAATTGCACTTTTAGATATGTTATTATCTAAATGAGCGCTAATTTCAGCCCATATTGGGTTAGTGGCAACAGCTATTTCTAAAACAAAAAGTATAACCACGCATCTTAAAATAAGTATTAAATTCAAATTGTGAGTTTTGGTATGTATAAATGCTAAAATATTATTTCATACCTAACAAATTAAAACTGAAAAAAATAAAAATCTTTTTAATTTTAGTATTTATTTAAATTATATTGAAACGTTTAAGTTAATGTGTTGGTAAATTGTTGAAAATTAATTTTAAAAAATAATTTTGAAAAAAATGTAAACTTATAACAAAATTAATTTTTAATTTAACCTATTTTATCTAAACGTTTTGGTTTATTATAATTTAAAAAATAAATTCTTTTGGTAAAATAATTCATAACGATGATTAGGTGTAACATAAATAACTGATACTACTTAAATTGGACATTTTAACTATATGTATTAATGTATTATGATATAAAAAATAAAAATGTAATGCAAGATTGCATGACGCATTTTAAAAACAAGTTTGAAATTTATTTAAGTTTCAATTTTTCAAATTCAGTTGAAATTGTATAATTTAAAAAATTAGTAATTTGTTACTATTGAATCGTATATTTTTAATTTCAGTTGTGAGCGGAGGTGTTAAATATGAATAAAATTTACAAATTAATTTTTTTTCTAGTGCTAATTTTAAAAGCTTTTTAGTAGATTTAGCAATCGCAATTTGTAACAACTTCAGATCCTTATATTATAATTAACTATATACACTTAACTTATAATAAATTATGATCTTCCAATAAATAATCAAACATATACATAATAATACAATAAAACTAGAACAATACACTTCACGCACAGCGTGATAACTGACTTGTGTCTTGTAATGACCTGAGGGCTTTAACACCCTCAGAAAGCACTCATGAGGTCCTGGGACTGAACCTCATGACCTGTGTGCCACGCCAAGTGGAAACCTGAGGGTTTCGTCGGTGGAACACATATACTTTAATACACGCATGGACTAATGAACGTCCAAGATTTATAATAATAAATAACTTAAAGCTAGGGAGAAGGTGACAAATTAAATAATATGAATAAGATGATTTTTTGTTCAAATAATAATTTGTGTATCATACAATATGCGGTCTTAACTGACCATAAAATGAATAGTTGAATATTGAATAATATAAATAGCAATAACGGTTATTTAAATAAATAATAAGGACATTATAATAATTAAATAGTAATGACTAAGTCATAATAATAATATGACAAATTCTTAATAACACGACATAATATGAAGGGTGGAAATTCAAAAGGTGGTATTGCCAAAAACGTTTCAAACAATTTTTGACTGATCCATTTTTCTTATCTGCTGCACTTTCTCGTGCTTATTTTAAAACTTAAGGTGGTTCTAGTCGGTCATTGCCTAAGGAGTAGGAATTAGGCAAATTATGTGTTGGGTACATTCGGGCATGTGAATTTGTGCGAGTGTAAATGAACATTAGTGGGTGTGCGCTATGTCAACGTTATGCGGGTCGTGTTCACGCACTCGCAGGCACATGTCAGCAAATTGAATTAGGAAAAAATATTCTGTTACTTTTCGAGTATAACATGCCTTGACTGTGACAAAATTGTGAGACTTTGGCTGGTGCGATTTAAATTCTGTACAAATCCTAACATTTATTAAAACCTCCTCTAGAGAACGGTCTAGGCATTTTTTAAAAATACATATTTCTCCAGTACATATGATTGAACAAAAATTTTATAAAAATGGAAATTTTTATAATATTATACAAGTGTCAAAAGTTCAAAATTTAAAAAAATGCTTCGACGGTTTTCTAGAGGAGATGTTAAAAAATGTAGTAATTGTTACAGCATTTAAATCAGATAATCCAGTGTCTCACAATTTTGTCACTACGAAGAGTCTAAAAACGATTTTTTTTTGTACCTACCGACTAGAACCACCTTAATGGCTTAATAATGATGATAGAAAAGATAGAGCTTGATAATTTTTTAAATAATCGTGCTTCGATATATTTAAACAACAAAATATCTCAGAATCTGAATCATCACACAGTGATGATGATTTTTTTTCGATTGGTCAAAAAAAAAAATCAAAAATAACTCCTGTTAAATTTGCTCTTGTCTGTCTTAATAAAATATGATTTATTATGGTAAAAACTAAAAACTAATCTAGCATCTTTTAGTATAAGTTAATTATAAAATGTATTCAATTATAAATTATAAATTATCACAGACCAAAGTTACTTATGTAATAATCAAACACAATATTATATCATTACATTGACCATACCTAATTTCTAAAAAACAAATATTATTGTATTTATAAAAAAAATATTTTTAAAACATTTGGAATACTTTTATAGTTATAGTATTCAGAATATTTAATTCGGAATATTTTATTTATGAAGTATTAGAACACATATTCGGAATACTTTTTTTCATGAGTATTAGAGTATTTGTTCTGAATACTTTTTAAAAGTATTTTACCCAAGACTAGTTATTTTGATATTTTAACCTTGTCTTTACCTATAATAATTATGTGCCTACCTAATTATTTTATCATCTGGGTTAAAATCTACGATACAATCAAAACAAATGTATTAAAATATAAAATTGGCAAATAAGTAATAATTATACTGTATAATTCCTGGATATAATAAAAATTATAAAAATTAATTTTTTGATTATTTAAAAAAATTGCCTGATAAAAATATCGATAAATTGAATAATCAAATGACAAATAATTGGTAGGTCCTAGTTACGATTGATGATAAATCAACAAACATTTTTTAAAGTATTGACGTTACTATTGTTACAATAGAAAATTGTATAATTCACTTGCATACTCACTCATGTCACCTTTTTCATCTCTGCTCACCACATTATCTTTGAAAGACAAAATAGCATCAACCAAAACTGAAGGCGGAACACTACATTTTCGTCCAACCATGTTCAATAATGATGTTAAAAAAGAACAATAATTGGTATTGTCAAAACAAAATATATTTTAATAGTAAGGTTAACCGCACACTGGTAAAGCAAAACTGCTTTAAAGCGACTAAAGTCGCTTTATTATGACTAATCAAAAATAAAACATTTATATTTTATGGAAAACACGCACACTGATAAGGCATAGTCAAAACAAAACAGTTTTGTCTTCAGTCATGACTAATATTGTTTTATTGAAATAGAACGTGCGCTATTTTCATTAGTCATTGCCAAAGCTGGAGAAAGTCTAAAGTAATAGCCCTTCCCAAACCAGGAAAAGATCTAAGTGATCCAAAAAGTTACCGACCAATATCACTGTTATGCCACACCTATAAATTATATGAGAGAATGGTCATGAACCGCATTAAAACCCAAATAGACAAAATGCTGATACCGGAACAAGCTGGCTTTAGATCAGGCAAGGCCTGTACAGGTCAAGTACTCAACATATGTCAACACATAGAGGACGGTTTCGAAAACAAAAAGATAACGGGAGCGGTTTTCGTTGACCTAACAGCAGCGGACGATACGGTTAACCATAATAAATTGCTACAAAAAGTGTATCACTATACCAGGGACTGGCAATTCGTTCAAATAGTTGCTTCACTACTACAAAACCGTCGATTTACGGTAAAGCTGAACGATAAGTGGAGTAGATGGAGAATCCAAAAAAACGGTTTACCACAAGGCAGTGTGCTAGCACCAATGCTTTTTAACCTATACACAAACGACCAACCAACCCTGAGAGACACAAAACTTTTTTTATATGCAGACGATCTAGCAATCACAGCTCAAGACACAACCTTCGATGATGTAGAAAAGAAATTAACAAACGCGCTTAAAGTGATGACCAACTACTATGACAATAACCAATTAAAACCAAACCCAAATAAAACACAGGTATGTTGCTTCCACCGACGAAACCGTGATGCCAAGAAACACCTTGATATAGAATGGCTGGGAAAAACACTACACAACACAGACTACCCCGTGTATCTTGGTGTCACCCTAGACAGGACATTGATATTTAAGGAGCACTGTTCGAAAACTAAAATGAAAGTGCAAGCAAGGAACAACCTACTTAGAAAACTTGCTGGAAGCCAATGAGGGGCACGACCTCACACCATGCGAACAACAGGAATAGCCCTAAGCTTCTCAACTGGAGAATATGCGTGTCCAAGCCAATCCAAACACGCCAAAAATGTATCTGTAGCTCTGAACGATACCTGTAGAATCATAACGGGATGTCTTAGACCAACGCCTACAAACAAGCTATACCTTCTAGCAGGCATAGCTCCACCTGAAATTAGAAGACGAGTAACCACCGATATAGAAAAAACCAAACAGATAAAGGACGAAAGACATCCTATGTTCGGACATGAAATCGCGAATACAAGACTTAAATCCCGAAAAAGCTTTATGCAAACGGCAAAAGAACTGCACGAATCCCCCCCCCCCCAAAAGCTAGATTGCAAAGGTGGCAAGATGAGCTACAACCGGAAGAACTGACTCAGATTACACAACAATTCCCAATGGGTGGACACCTTCCATGGCCATTATGGAAAACTCTTAATAGATTGAAAGCCGGGGTGGCGAGGACGAAAGCTAACATGGTAAAATGGAAATTTAATGGAGAAGATGACTCATGCGACTGTGGAGAACGACAGACCGATGAACACCTCCTGTCATGTACCATGAGTACAGCACAATGCACCAGGGAAGATCTGATTCTGACAAACACAAATGCAATAGAGGTGGCCGCTTATTGGTCGCAACACAACATATAGAACGTTACCAAAAATGTGATTTATTAGACGTACCAAATTAATTTATTGTATATTTTCTGTATTATTATTATTATTATTATTAGTATTTTATTTTATTTTATATAATTGTTATTGGCATTTTTTTATTATCGGACACGACAAGAAGAATTAGTCATTGCCAAGCAGTCACTGGATAATTACATCAAAATTATGCCAAATATCATTCATTTATGCTAAAAAATTTAATTGTCTACAATATAAAGGTAGGTAATTGTACATTATAATATATTATACAAGTACTGAAATACGTAATTTTGAATTGAAAAACATTTATTTGATTTTTCGTTGATATTTTATTAAGTAGTATAGTGTAGTATAGTGTATTATATTATATTTATATTATTATTTAAGTATAAGGTTTTTTTTTATTTTTAAGTAGTAAGCACCATACCATACTCATCCCTTGAAAGGCTGAAAACTGTGAATATTATGTAATAATATTAATATTACATGATTACGTAATTAAATAAGTAGTAGGTAACATAATATGCATAGGTATAGTATTATTTTATTCAATAGGATTATAAAATGTCGATTGAGCATGAAATGAACCTCGAAGATTTAATATCATTAGTCCAAGAACGTCAGTCTATTTATGATTACAAAAACAAAAATCATAGCAACAGAAACATACAAGAACAATTATGGACAGAAATATCGGATATTCTAAAAGTACCAGGTCTTTATATTTTTATTATATTAATATTAGTTGATATCACTATTTTAAGAAAAATAAAAAAATGTGTTATTGATAACTTTATTATATTTTTATATTTTCTACTCAACATAAATCACGATAGTAATAAAAATATAATAACAAAGTAGATACTTAAAATAGTTAATTAATTGATTAATTTATTATTATTATTTATTATTTAATAATTTTATTATACAGTGTATTTATTTTGCCAGGATACAGAACCTTTATTTGAATTAAAATATTCTGTAAATTTATTTCGAAGTGATATTGCTGCTGTAGAAGATCTATTATTAGAAGATCTATTTCTACTAATATCTTGTTCAATTATTTCATTCTGTTCTTGAGAATTTATAAATTCTTGAATATCAATACAATGTTGCTCTCTCGTCATAATTAAGTTATGTAATACATAAATAGCTTTTACGATTTGGGTAGCTTTTTCTGGGCCAACCACAATTTTGTTTTCCAACACTTTAAATTTCTTAACCATAATTCCGAATGCGCATTCTACTATTCGTCTTGCCCACGACTGTCGATAGTTAAAAATACGCTTTTCGTTTGTTAAGTTCCTACGCGGAAAAGGTCTCATCAGGCATGGTAATAAAGGGTATGCTTCATCCCCAACGAAAACAAAAGGATATTCTTCATTGATGTCATTATGAATTTTTCTGGGTGGTGGCAAATTTAATTCGTTGTGTAGTAACATTTTACCAAAATTAGATTCTTTAAATGTTCCACTGTCACTGGACCGACCATAATCCCCGACATCGATTGTTATAAATTTTGCGTGAGCATCAACCACAGCTTGAAGCACGATTGAGGGAAACCCTTTATAATTAAAATACTCGGAACCAGCACATGGTGGACATTGAATAGCAATGTGCTTACCATCAATTGCTCCTGTGCAATTAGGAAAATTCCAAATTTTATTGAATTAATTTGAAATTTTAATCCAGTCTTCTTCTCTAGGCGTTGGCAAATAAATGGGTGATAATAATTTCCATATAGCAGTACATACTTCATTAATTATCAATCCTATTGTCGTAGCACCTAGGCGAAATTGGTAATGAAGACGTTGAAATCGCTCTCCCGTTGCCAAATAACTATAAACATTATTTAAAAAAAAACAAAATATAAATACAACTTTGTATTGTAATTAGTATAAAATTTGTTGATCAATTACAGCTAATGAATGCAAGGCAAAATGGACCACGCTTCGAAATTCATTTTCAAGAGAGCTGCGTCAAAGAAAATTGCCATCTGGGTCCGGAGCATCATCAAGAAAAAGACAATGGTATTTATTTGATAATATGTTGTTTCTTTCTGATTACGTGTTGCAACACTAAAAAATGGAAAGCAATTTGAGTAGTTCCCATATAGATCACTTAGAAAACGAAAGTTTAGTTGAACAACCTATAGTGTCAGATACTGAAAAAAATTTAGAAACAGCTGAACAAGACGAAGTGCTTTCACAAACAATAGTTACCTACTGAAGATGTAGAAAATGAAAAATCAAGTAATGAACCATTATTTAAAAAACCAAGAACAAACCGAAAAATGTTACCCAGTGAAAGAGTGGTGGAACCGATGTTGGAATTTATAAAGACAAGAACTCAACCAAAAAAAAATAATGAGGATACACCTGAACTTTCTTTTTTTAAAAGTATTATTCCAGATTATTTAAAATTAAATGATAAAAATCAACGTCAGTTCAAAAAAAATATATTAAATACCATTGATCAGCTTCTCGATAGCCAAGAAGATCATACGTCGTATGAAATGCCAGGTTACAATAATGTACCACATACTAATAGCATTCATCATTTATCACCAGATCAGCATTTAAATGCAAATCATCAACCTCAGCAATTTAATGCGATTCAGTACATCGCGAGTTCTCCAGATTTCTCCTCGTCAGATAGTTCAAGTTCATATAATTTGCATTAATACAGTTGATTTTTCATTATAATAAATTATAATTTTTAGTATTGTTAAAAACTATGTATAAGTAAGTAACCTTATTAAGTGTTAACTCATTTTATTATAATAATATCATAACAATAAAAATTAATACGTTCAAGAGAATTCGCAAGTCTAAAAGAATTAATTTTGTACTACCTGTTATTTTAGATTCTGAGTGGAGCGAAAAAATGAAAATGTAAAAAAAAGTTGGACAAGTGGTTACCGCTCTGCTGTTCAGTAGTTGCCAAGCATGTCGTTGTAATAGAAATGTTATACCTATTTGAATTCAATGATAAAATATCATTTTATAACGAAAATTTTTTTTTTTTTTTTAAACACACATCATTGTAAAATCGATACATTATTACGCTACGCTCCGCTCAGAATCTAATATCTAATTATTTAGAATTTATTATTAACTTACCTCAATGTCACCAATAATTTCTCTTCTGGAGTGATACTTTTTCTGAAATTAGTATCAGGTTTTCGAATTTCATCGTTAAGTATTTCTAGAATATAATCAAACGTGTCGGTACTCATTCGTGTAAAATTTCTAAATTTACATTCGTCATTTCGAAGTTCATGAATAAAACATTTAATTGTATTATTTTCAGTTCGTTTCAAGTTCAAAGGATGAACCCAAAGTTTTTTTTTATTTTCTTCTTGTTCAATTTCTCTTAAAAGAAACCATAAAATAGGAATAGCAACGTCCTCCTCGTCGGACGACATTTTGACGACTACTTTATTTGACTAACTATGTTTTATCTAGTGTGCGATAACAATGCTTTATTATGACTAAAAGCAAAATGACTTTAGATTGAAGACTTTAAATGAGGCCTAGTGAATTGCCAGGAGATTATTCCGGACCCTTTTGAATATCTCCGTCGAGCACCTATGATTTACTTTTTGTAAATTGGCACTTTAAGACCTCAAACTTGTAGCGTTCGAGACGCTGAGCATTAATCATTTTTCAAATTTTTGCGGAAATGAATATCTTGGAAGTTTTCGGATGGGGAAGTTATGTGTGCGCGGGGTCATAAGTATTACGTATACACACCGCGGTCTGTATCATGGAAATATCTACGTATCGTTATTCAACACTTTTACAATACGATATCTCGATAAATACTAGTCATACAGACTTTTATGCGTGATTCAATTATGATTCTTTGGGCAATTACAATCCGATTTACAAGTCTCGGACCAATCGGTTCAATATCAAGCGAATTGACTTTGGCAATTGCGAGTACGCGTGTACAATCTCCGGCAATTTCCAGCCATCCGTTCCTGGACTCCAGGGTTTTTAATATTTTTACACGAACCTAGCAGGGATGGTAGCCAGGAATATTTGCAATCTATCAGTGAAGGTTTCAAATCGGTGGTCCTATTATTCGGTATTTAATTAATTTTTTTCATAGAAATTTGCACAGTTGCCGGGTGATTGCCGTTAGCCGAACCTAACCGACAGAGAAACGATCAGGAACGATATAGTAAATTACATAATGACTAGGCCAAATCTACTAACTAGGATATGGCGATTGAAATTGATAAGATGTAACGGGGACAATTGATAAGCTTTCAATCACTAATAGACGATACCACGGTTTAAGACACAAGACACAATAAATAATTCAAATTTAATACCATCCATTACAGTGACCCACTTGTAACCTACAGTACAGCAGAGCGACATCCACTTACCCACCTTTTTTTACATGAATGTGGTTAAGAATGCGCTGGGGCAATTAACATTTATACATTTTAGAAAAAATGTATAAAATCGACCCTATATCCTACCAACTTGAAATTTACATATGTCGTTACTAGTACCCTTAGCTACCATCCCTATGATTTCGGAGAGCGTGACACGATTAAACGTCAAATATGCGTATAACTATACGCGGAAACCTCTACACTAGGATATAACAGAAACAAAGTTCTATAACTTCGGCAATACACAGGCTAAACTGCTAAAGGGACTTGAACAACGTCGTGAGTGCTGGTGATGATCGGGGTAGTTGTGGGTTTTCATAAACATATCTTTGAGAACTTACGAAAAAACAAACTGCAATGCTTTGTTTATTAATACTTTCTGAATGGCAATGTTAAATATTGAGTTATTCCAAAGTCAGTTCTTTCTGTTACACCCTGTATATAATTTTTAATTTGCCTTTTATTTACATAATATTAAATTAATATATTTATATTATTTAGTTGGTATTGTGCCAATCGAGCGGACATTCGAAACAATAGATAATGAACCACCAGTTTGGAAAATAGTAAAGGTGATAAAACAAAA